AGCTGTTAGCAACAAAGTCAAACCAACAGCAGTTAATAACATCACATTGAATGCATGTGCCGACCAGAAATAAAACGAGACAGTTGTTTTTATAATCAGGAAGTTTTCTCATGTTTGACATTTTTTGGAGAAACATTATCATTTCCCAGTAGGGAAAGGCTACAACAACAGCCATATCATTGAATTTAATGTTTGATATTTGATGAGACTCTAGACACATGAGTACAATCAGTATCTTGCAACTCTGCTTCTTTGATACCAGAGATGTCTGAGCCCAGCAGCCTTTCTTGTAACCCCTGACCTCTAATGAGAAGAACATCGGCCTGATCAAAACCTCGGTGAAAGCAGATATGCATGGATGCACAACTCCAACTGACACCCGATATCCAATCAGCAGCGACGACCCCACAACCGACACAAAAAACGTGCATACCATATCTACAAAGCATTCGCAACGACGGGGCATGGAGCATTCACAGGAGACATCTCATTTACATGGCATTTCAAGGGAGCCCTACAAACACAACCAATGAAAACATCTATCATAGGGTGTGTTCAGGATATTCACTGCATCCTGCCTGTCCTGCCACAAATTCAGGAGTGAGGATAGATCATGTACGTCTGTAAATCAGGCAGAGAGAACACAAGTAGTCATTACTCGCAGGGAACAACTGTTTGTAGCTCATACACACATACCTCTTGCCTTCCAATACCCCCAGGCAGCCATCAATACCGCCCAGCCCGACAGCTCCCATGCAACACTTGGCTCTCTCCGCCCAGCCCAGAAGTTCACTGTCAACACCTGACAAATACACACATCTGCACAGCCGTAAATACCCTGTAATATTGAACCAGGAACACCTCTCCGGTCTGACATCTCAATTCCGCTCTCTTCTCATCTATCCTGTCATGGTGTTTGATATCTTGATCCTCCGGGGGTCCTGTGGAAGTTTGCTGTGGCACACCTAGTGTTTATTAGAAAATACCTTACCTTTAAACTCTTGCACCTGGACATACTTGCATAAACTGACATAAATATGTGCTCACTGGTGTCAGTATGATAGAGGCAGACAGAATGACAAATTCAGGTCAACCGATATTGCTATCTTTATTGTCATTTATAAGTGTCATCAAACAAAAGATACTGTTGATAATTATTTTCTTAGGCAGATTTGGAAGTTTGAACCTCTCTTTGACCCCTTTAAATCAAACGAGAGTGACATGTTTTACACTGTAACTGACCCAGAATAACAATTATAGCTATATGACACAGCTTTCACTGAACAATGTTTTTTTTACGGGAATATAATGATTCCGGACACGGAAATCCAAAATAGCTACACACCAACCACTTCTTAAATCGGGGCCACAAAACCTGGGCCAAAAACCCAATCTCATTCACTGTCTCTGATTTAGATGTATCCTCATGGATTGCAAGACTTAGGAAAACAATAGGGAATAGGGAGTATAATGTGCATGTGACTTCGTCTGTGTATCCTGTGAGAACACTACATGGGGTCCTAACCAGACAGCTCATTACACCAATCACATCAAATGAAGCACTTCCTTTCGTAAAATCTGGTTTCCTTCCTTGAATTCAGTTTCCTTGTTCGACCCCCCACTGCCTCTGTCTGCCCGTCTTGCAACAAGTCATCTTTACTCAGTGGTGCTTCTCCAGCCAAATGTGAAGGTCAGGTTAACTCATTCAACAATGACAATTGGAAGTTTTCCCTTGTACGATGTGAGGGTCTAAGGACAGAGGGTGTCGTATTGTCATACTGATATTCTGTACAAACTGTGAAGTCCACTGAGACAAATGTAACATTTGTGATATTGGGCTATATAAATAAACATTGATTGATTGATTGATTGATTCAAAACTGCCTGATGCCCAAATGTGCCTACATTGGGAAAAGCTCCATACAAGGAAACAACACCTGAAAGTACACCTCTTATTTAGTAAAGTAAAGCCAAGGTACATTATGTAGATAGGAAGTTACTGGATAAACAACCTAACATTTGTAATCATCTTGTTATACACACTTGTTACAGACAATGTTTAAAACAAAATCACCAACAAGTAGGGCCTAGCCTTTTCTACTGACTGTTGCCATCATCAAAAAGGTGCAGTTTGGTGCAACCTTTTCCCACTAAACCAGGATCGAAGAACTTGAACACATGTTAAAGACTACAGCCTTGGACATAGGGCCAGCTATAGCGTTCTGCGCCTGCGTAATATCAGCTGGAAACCGGAAGACCTGTAGCTATACAAGCCAATTTTGTGATACAACATTAAAACACAGCAGCCATGCAAACCATTTTCACACCACTCTGACTCACCGCCTCATTTCCGATGCCCATGTCGTTCTGAACATATCCGAGTGTTAGAAAGATTAGATAAGATGAAAAATGAAAAGAGACTCCATGTGGCGCTGATTCGCTTTACCAATAAGAACGATGTACTCTGTCGAAATTCTCCGGCGGAGCCTGCTGGCAGCAGCGAGAACTGCAGACAGTGAGGACCGTGATGGAAACACCGCATAAACATGACCGACGTCTCTAACTTTACCAACGGCCAATGCTTTGCTAATGCCTTTGGTACATTCTCATACCTTTTTCAATCTCTTAAAGTTGTCATCATCTCTCAAACTTCTCATTTTGAAATTACGTTTTTTTTTCTCCCATGGCCATTTTTCGTAATTATCCTCTGCCTTTATCCCATGAAAGTGAGAGGCAGATGGGGGAATTATTAGTGTGTAGAACCAGAAGGATGCAAACAACACTGATCTTAGCCTAAAGATTGCTACGAGTACATTTATTTCTACAAAATGTATGTCATTTGAACTGTGCTTCTCTAAAAAAATTGATTGTGATTACAATCTAAACATTTAATTCAGTTTATTTGAAATGCACATTACTCAGAGACGTATACCGTTTGTGGTGTATTTGTTTATTTCTTAAGTAATACTGTGCTAAAGTCTGTTCTCGTGCTTACTGGTGTCCCTATGCTGTTTCCTTTTTTGGGAAGATGTAGTTTGTTCTTTGCAGCTGACTGATAAATAAACTATAGACAAGGAGGCAGTGTTGAAATATTTATTGTCTTTGTTATAAGAAACGTGGAGAAATCACGGTCGAGAAACACAAAGTGAGAGACCGGTCTAGGCAGTCCTCACTATGTGCATAGGTATTGAGGGCCAGTACAAGGAAATTAGGCGCATGCTGGTATTTTTAAAGGTTGAGGAAACAACATGCCAAGCCTCACCACAGAGACAAAAAGATTGGAGGCCTATGACATCAGAAAAATAATTAAAAGGCTAACTAGGAATATGTTTTTATAGTCTTCATATAGGGGGAGGGATCGGTGTCAGAAAAAATTGGCTGCACCATAGGAGACAATCAGAAAAACAATCTGATTGTGACATGTTAATTCTTATAAGAATAGACATAATATATGAGATAACCAGAAGAAGACATGTAGGCTACAAAAAACAATTTTGATATACAAATTAAACCACTATTACTTATTTTCAAACCCAAACAACTATTGTTCAAATACACAAGCGCATTTCTTAGCATAACTTTATAATAATTAACCAGAAAAGAGACAAATCTGAGACAATTAGACAAAGAACACAGCCAGCATGCACCTGTCAGGTGTGTCTGGCTGTGTTCCATATCACATTCTTTTTATTTTTTACTTGCAGTACTATGCAGCTGCCTTAACAAAGTATGCACTGTTGCATGCAGTATGCATACAATTGGGACATAATAATAGGTCATATCATTTTGCCTTGAACTATAACCCTCTTGCTCATATATCAGGGTTGTGGGTCAGAATAGCCAGAAAAGCATGTTTGCTTGCATACTGCAAAATATGATTGGATGAAGTTGATAACCTAGAATTTGTTTTGTAATACTCCATTAGATGTATTTGGGCCATCAAAATTGTTTTGGCATCATAGTAGTATTGAAACAGTTTTGGATTGTTATTTGGTGGTGGTTGGGTGGTGCATCAAACCTATTATTAATAACGGAAAACAATAGTTTGTTGTTGATGTATCCTTATGCCCATGTAGATGGCTTTATTCTTCCTCAACCCATTTTGGTGTAACTACTTAACATTTAGCATGTTTGTAGGCTTGTGTTCACCAACTGCTGGCCCATGTGCGACAGTGAATGTAGACTATACATTTATATTTGTGTGTCACCAGAGCTCTACAGAGAAAACCTTTGTAGCACTGAGAAATCTTTGTCATACTGTTGTCAGCATTAAATCCAAGCAACTTGAATGGTATTAGTAATGGCAATTTCGTTGTTCCAATGTCCTATATTCTTTTTTCCATTACTTCACAGGATTATGAGTGATCCAGACGCAGACACATAACAGATGCTTGCCGGTCTGGCACAGTTTAGAATGATGTTATTGAAAAGTTTACATTACCAAGGTTTAATTACTGAGTGAATGGTTGTATCTTGAGCATCTGCCGGGCTGGTTAGATTGGTGTGCTCTTCCTCCTGTGTCCTCACTCTTCCGGTCACCTATGACCCCTTTTATACACCCAGTGCAGCTAACCCCCACCACCAAGTGTTCCAAATAATATTGCACTATAAATATAAATAAATTAAACTGACACGCCAACAACACCCATAAAATGGCTCTTACAGTATTATCAATTTTGTTATGAAAATGTCTTAGTTTGATCACAGACTTTCACGTTTTCATGGTTTCTCCTGAAAATGCCCACGTACTCCCTTTCACACAAACACAGTTGCCCACACACACTATACAAGAGACCAGCTGGTCCTGAATCATTGTGACATCTGCATACAGTGTACAGGGACTTGTGATGCTATATCAGGAGAGGCTCAGCTGAACCAACCCTAGTCCATTCTCCACCGTGTCTGCTGTTTGCCCAAGAATGCCTGTGACTGCATTTTTACAGTCATAGATTTTCTGTGTTTTGATTTTATCTCTTCACACAAAGTAAGCAAGCATTCAGGTCACAGAGTTTCCAAGAACATTTATTTAAATAACTTTCAGCAATTAAGAAAAACTATCAAATCTACAGTACTGTATATACGAGTGAAAAGTTTGTACAAAAATATGACATTTTGTCAGCTCAAGCATAATACAGGATTATCATAGTTATGTCAATCAGTAATGAGACTAAATTCAGCATGCCACATCTCCTGTACATGGTATATAAATATTTACAGTCTTTCAACATGAATCCATTGTCATCACCAAAAGCAAAGTCTGCTACTTTTATTTTTTTCTAATCTCAGCAATTTTGGAAAAGGTCAAAGGATCACCTCCATTATGCTTCAGTCTGTATGGTTGGGAGATATATTTTGCCAGTGGTAACTGAAGGAAATGGCATTAATGTTGCAATCCTTCATCTGGTCAGTTTATCTCCATAATCACTGTGGCTGCAATAGAAGTTGATAGATAACTTAGCAACGTTTTTAACATTGCAAAACTGTGGTCATTCAGTCTCTGACGGTTTTAAAAGCATGTTTTCTACAACAGAACAGGTGTTAGAAGATGAAAGAAATGACGTATACACAGCTACTTCTCTTTGCTCATTTAATACTCATTACATTTGCTCGTTGAAATTAATACTGGTCTTTCACACCATATAAACAAGCTTAGATTTAGCTTGCTTATGAATGTATCTGTTCTGTGTCACGTTCTGCTTTTTCAAGAATAGACAACTAACCCTGAATGTTTTTTTTTACCACGCCCTTCACTGATTTGCTGTCCTCACCACTCTCCCTCGCTCTTGTTTATCCCGCTCTTCCTCCCTCTCTCTGTGTTGTCTCCTGTTCCTGCTCTTCTTCATTTCCTGTATATGTTTCCATTTTCCACCTCCTAAGCCTCGTCCCCGTATTCTTGTCGGCCTCTTCTCCAGCCACAGTGAATCACAGTACTCCTCCAGAGAGCCGAAGGGGGAGCTCATCACTCTCAGGTAGTCTTTATAGTGCTGCCGGGGATCCACGCCGTGGCGTAGTTCCACTGCAGGGTCTTCACTGGGCTTGGGCTTTCCATCCAGTTGTCCATTTGTAACGAGTTGAAGCTTGAGACGGAGGAGAGTGTGGGTGAAGTCCGTGTGCTCTTGAGCAACGCATACGTACACACCGGCATCAGAGGTTTGGAGGGAGCGAATCAGGAGACCTCGATCTGTGTGTACAACACGGTCATCCAGTCTGACCTGGGGGACAAAAAAATGGATAAGAGCTTTATCACAAAGAACAAGGTCATGGTAACAAAATCAGGCAAATATTTCCTTGCATGACTCTAAATTCATTCAATAAAACACGAAAGTATTTTTCCCTAACCCCCAAAACAATCAATCCGAATGGCTTAACATTACAAATCACCTGCTTGATAGATGCCACCCTGTACACACATAGATGTTCACACCTGATTTGTATCCAAGGTGCGTTAAACATGGTAATGACCCCTGAAACAGGAAACATATTGAATTGGGTGTGGTGAGTGTCAACCTCAGGCTGGGGAGCCAGGGGTCATTATGTGGCGTGGAGATATCTTAAGATGCATGATGAGTGTAAGCAGTAAGCAGATGCTAAAGAAGGTATTTGGCAAAACTGGTGTGTGTGTGGGGTGTGTGTGTGGGTGTGTGCGTGTTCACACATTCACATTCAAGTAGGGTAAGTAGCGTGCTAATGTTTATGGTCCGCTCTTCTCATTTAGCATACATAATGATTCATCAGGTGGTATGGCTGCTGTCAGGGCCTAAAACAACACAGCTGTGTTCAGAGGACAGCAAAAGAGCATGGCTGTGTGTGTGTGTGTGTGTGTGTGTGTGTGTGTGTGTGTGTGTGTGTGTGTGTGTGTGTGTGTGTGTGTGTGTGTGTGGATGCTTCAAAAGCATACCTCCCACAGCCTTGCTCCGACCCCCCAGAGGTGTAAGATAAGACAGCTAGAGCAGGAGGCACAGGCGCGAACTGCATGTAGGAAAGCATGAATATTTGCCTGTTTATCCTTCTCCATATGAATGTGTGTGTGTTTTTTTTAGGTCTGACACTGATGATGTGTTGTCCAGCCAGAGGCAGACCCCCAGGCCTCTGCGACTCTTTGGATCTTGACCTTTACCGACATTAGACCTACAAGTCTGTCTCCCATCACATTCTCATTTCCTCACACACCTAACTGACTTACAAACCACATGGGATACATATCAAAAACATAAAAACTCCCTTATGCAATGCCTCTGCTCATTGGATTGGTATTTATATGTTTGTTTGTGTGTCTTAAAGCCGGGGCCCTCTGCCATCCAAAACAAAGGCATCTGTGGCTACGTAATGCCAGTCATTTAAACTCACCCAGATGGTGTGTCTTTGTTCGTGTACCTCTTTGTGTCTCAGCATTTGAATAAGCCTATTCCTTCAAGGAATAGTGATGCAGCTTTAAAGCAAATTGTATGAAGCTCTGTATTTGTAGGTACACACATATTTGTATGTGTGATTGTTACGTGCCGTAGTGGGTGCTTGTGTGTGTGTGCTTGTGTGGGGGTGTTTGTGTTTGTGTGTCTCTCTCCCTTTCCCCCTGATTGTCTCCCTCCAGGTGCAGCCTCTTCCTCAGGTGCTCCCAATCCCCAATCAGGGCCTCCATAAAGGACCTGAGAAAGGCGGCAGTCGCTCTCTTCCTTCTCGTCTGGCTGCATTTGTGACATGTGCAGCATGTGTTGTGTCTTTGTGTGAGACCTGTTAGTAGTGATGGTGAGATGAAGCCTTATGAAGCTTTGAAGCTTTCCAGCCAATTGGTTTGCAAAAGGGTTCATCTCATGAGGCTTCATCATGGGCTTCATCTGAACACAAACCCCCCTGTTGGTCAAAGTGTGTAGAGGCAGATGTGACATCTCAACAGTGTGCTTTATCTCATACCGAGTTCCCAATGAGTAAAGGCAAAGCCTTAGAATAACTCTAAACAACCAACATAGAATCATATGTTCATGTTAACAATATTGTATTTATTCCAGTTTAATGATTGTGATTGAAAAGCCTAAGGAGGCTCGTAAACATTGCAAAGAGGGATTTGTATTCCTTAATAATATTCGTAAACTTAACCATGTTGTAGCCAGAGAAAGGCTAAACCATATCAAAGAATACAGTTATCAACTACATTATCTCATTTAGCTGTAGCTTTTATTAACAAAAAAAATACGTATTGTTCAATAGTTGAACCTGTATTTATTCATTTATTTATTTATTCATGTTTGTATTCCTACATTTATTTATGCTTTTATTTATTTATACTTATGACATGTTCTGACCTCTATATAAGTGAGGGTCTGAGCTCTCTTAATTCCATCGTGTCACCGGGCCCGGGTACAGGAGGGGTAATATGGTTCTTATTATACATCCATGGGTATTATGAGCGTTGTGGTTCAACCGATCTAAAGCACTTTCTGAAGCAGTCACGTGGTATCGACAGGCAGCGAGGCTTCGTTTGTCATCGATGACGTCACTGGCCCAAAACGATACAAGCCTCGATACAAGCTTCACAAAAAGCTTCAGGGATTACTCGACACACGCTCCGAAGCCTCGGCGCAATACGTAACATCCCTACCTGTTAGGTTAACCTGTATTTTGCTCATTGTTAGATGTGCTCCAGTTTACCTTTGTGTATTGTTTAATTTAGTCACTTTCTTTTAGAAGAAAGTTGTTCTTAGTTACCTTAAGTTTGCTTTGCAAATTGGCTGGTGAACCTCATTTTCTTTTGTCAATTAAAAGACCATCTTGTGGCTTCACAAATCAGTTTCCTCTCCTCTTTTCTCTCGCCCGGTTATTTTATATTTTTGCACTTGGTACCCCTAGTCCAGGAGGGAATGTAACAGTGACCAAGCCTGCCTGCATGTGGTGTAATCCAATGAAACACAGCTTTAATTAGTAAGATTGTGGGTAAGTGGTTTAAAGGTTTAAGATGTAAGCACATCTTAAGTGTCAGGTTAATAACTTATCTTGCTTTAAGGCAGGCTGTGCTTGGTTCTAATGAACACCATGGATACAATTTTACATAATTCGTGCTTTTTCTTATTTTCTAATGGGCCTGCATTCCTGGCTCTGGTAGGTGAACAAACACAGCGGTACTAACAGATGCGCACAAACAAAATTATGCTGTGAGAAAGTCTTGAGGAATCTTTTCCAGCTCAAATCTTTAATAGCTGACTTTTTACGAGGGGATAGTGTGTGTGTTGGTGGTGTGATGCAGGTGCTGTGAGCAGCTGGTTGAGGATGCCTTAATCAAAACCCATCAGGAGGCAGAAAGTGTGGAGGGAAACGCAGAAGGGAAGAGACTGTGGGAAACAGCGGAGATGTCACTTAAAGTATGAGGAAACAAAGTAGACGGAGAAGGAGCGTGAAGGCTGAAATTAAGTGAGGAGAGATTAAGGTGCGACTGATGAAGGAGGTTGAGGGACAGAAGAGGGAAGAGGATGACGGACAGATGGAAACGGAGAGGGATGAAAAGCACAGGGAGTGAGAGGGTGAAATGAGCCAGACACTTCAGAAATCACCTGCTTCAACAGCACATGTCCAGCTGAGAGAGATAAGCTCTATCCCACCATCATCATATTCACTATCTACCAACGCCTGTGTCGTTAATTCATCTTAACACAAAAATGTGTCAAACGTGATTAACTTTGGGTGTTTTGATTTAACATCACCATGGTTTTCATATTCACACACACACACACACACACACACACACACACACACACACACACACACACACACACACACACACACACACACACACACACACACACACACACACACACACACACACACACACACACACACACACACACACACACACACACACACACACACACACACACACACACACACACACACACACACACACACACACACACACACACACACACACACACACACACACACACACACACCTGAAGAAGTAAAGTGTTTCTTTGACTGCCAGCTTGGTGTGGTTCACTTGAACTCTTTTACTTTGTTTTGACTGTCATCAGCATTGCTGTGGTTCAGCCAAAAAAACAATCGATCAATCAAGTGCCTCATTGTAAACATGAACCCTCAATCTGGGGAAAACTAACTACCACTTATTTGTAAAGCTAAAGGTCTGTTGCCAATGAGGGGATTGGGAAAGAAAACTTTGAGAAGTATTAGACTCACAGTCAGAATTGATAAAATATTTCTCTCAAATCACTTCCTAATTGGCATATTCAGTTTGAAAGCCATGTTTGTAGTCCAAAATGTTAATTAAATGCCTTTTTGTTAGCCCATTAGTAGAAACAATGTATCTTTCAGCAGTGTATAATTACTTATCAATTCAAGCATTTGTGCTGCAGTTTCCTTTGGTCTTTGCTTTTCTGTACAAACATTTTAAATATTCACTGGCTGCTGTGCCAAATAAATACATTTGTTTATTTATTCATGCAAATGCTGAACTGTCTTTTTAATTTATGTTGTATTAATGAACCATATGGTTTATTTGGGTCTCAGTCATTATAAGTATGACAAACTTGCTTACAAGTTTATATTATAACTGAGAGTTCAGTCTAATATCATTTTTTGGACAGAAAGTAAAACCAAAACATTTGTATTGGGCTGCCTGTCTAGGAGGTGGCTGTCTCTATCTTTACATTGGCAGAGAATATATTTACAATTTTAGTCTCGTAAAAATGTATGTAAATGATCACAGCCAAATCTGTTAGACGTGTTGCCTTTATAAATACTCTGAATTGCTGCTGATCCAACATATTCTGCACATTGTATTTGTTTAGCTCTGTGTTTATCACATGACAATCCTAAGGGAGGAAGAACTCCTGCATTCACTTCTTCATCACTTTGTCTAGAGTACAATAGGTCAAATATCATTGCATGCCTAGACACACAAACACAGAAAACACCCCATTGTGTTCATTACCAAAAAACACATGGCTATCCCTAGGGAGCACTTTGTTATGCATTTCTGCTTTAGGAGATCATAAAGAAAAACGCAAACAGACACACACACACACACACACATACACACACACACACACACACACCAAAGAAAACGCAGGTTTTCTGCTGTGTGGGCCTATTAAGGAACACATGGGTCTTTAGTGGCCTTTGCACCTGTCATTTTGTTTACATTCCCCCTGAGAGAGAGGACATGGGACCAGTCGTGGGAGTAAAGAAGTTTAGCAGGAAGTGAGGAGATAGAGGAGAGAGTGGGTTGAGTGGAATACAGGCCACTCACAGTGGGTGGAGGAAGGTTTGTATGTTTGTATAGGTGAGGGGGTGGCACCAAGGTGCTGAGTAAGCTTTTCTCTGTTGTCTGTTTCAGGAGACGAGTGTCATCATCAATGAGTTCCTTTCAGCACCTCAAACACAAACACATTAAACTCTCTGTCCCTGTGTGTGCTTCTCTGTCCAACATCCTGTCTCCAAGGAGTTTAAAAGTGACTTTGGTCCCAGGCAATGACAATTAGCAAAGATAAAAGAGCAAACGTGTTTAACAAATTTGTAAATCAGTTCTTAATATTCAACACTTTGCAAGAGCTGGACAATAACACACAATATGGCCTAAAAAGGACGATTATATTTATTCTATCACCAACAATGACCACGACAAACATCGTCATATACATTTTCAACTAAGGTTGCTTTGGCTGTAGAAAGTATTTTCAACAGCTTAAGTGTCCAGAAACTTTTTTTACGATCCACAGTTGCATTCCAGCATCATTACTTCAAAAAATTAGGTGAAATAAAGATTACATGTCATGCTCAGTGTTCTTTCCCCTAATTTTTCATATGAGACAGATAATGCCCCGTCCCCACAGATGGGTCTGGTTTGAGTCATTCCTCACCTTTCTAGATAAGAGAGGGGCTGCAAAACATTTCAGAAAGCCCTGGACACCCATAAATATCAATAATGACCTTATTTAAGGAACTAGTGAGAACCTGAATGGATCCAATATTACCTCTAACTCCACAACAAATGTTGCTTTGGTTATCCATCTGACTATTTAGTACTTGTAAGCTGTGAAAAGCATTCTCTGTGTCCAAGCATTGTTACAATCTTTACAAAGATAAGCAGGACCAGTAGCATTGTGATTTGTGCTATAAACAGTTGCTTCAGAGTTTAAAGGGCCCATGTCATGCTTTTCCGGTTATTACCCGTCCCCTTGTGTGTTATGAAGGTTTTTATGCATGTAAACGGTCTGCAGAGTCAAAACCCCTCAAAGTACACCCTGTAGCGAGTAAAACTCTAACACAGAAAATACCTGTCTATGCTGCCCCAAAACGTCTCTGTGGAGATTTCTCATTTTCCATTGTTTGCTTCCTGGGTCCTGTGACGTGTGAACACCCAAATCAACAACAAATGACCGGATTGGCCCAAATGGACCAATCCGCGGAGCACCTCACACACCAGGATCCCTTGGCTAACTAACAGGGAGTTAGTTAGCCAAGTTATTGACTTGCATAGAGCTCCCTGAACGCTGGTAATAAACGAGTTGGGATCGCAGAGAATCCCAAAGAGAATACTCTCTGCAGACCCATTCTCACAGCGTTATAAACCTTTTTATTACTCAATATCAAGCCACACTTATTGTTTTTACTTCGGCTGTGAGTGTTTGTGTGTGTTCAGGATGAGTTTTGCTTGTTCTCGCTGTATCGCCGACCCGGAAACCTGTCCGCTCCTCGCAGCAACGAGCCTCGCAACGTCCCGACCAATCAGAGCACACTGGGCTCACAGGGAGAGGGGGGGGGCAGGAGCTCCAACAAGCCCTTTAGGACAGAGAGTGAATACACATACTATACAGAGATGCTGTATGAGAAACCAATGTGTGTTTTCAGATGTTTCAAAGTAATTACTGTTGCAGCGACAAATGTCTGTTTTTTGCCCATGTTCTCAGATTGAAGACTTGGCATGAAGAAAATGTAACCCCTGTACAGTAAGAAAACAAAGTCCCTCTTCAAACTTCAAAGTGAATATATAAATATAGTTTATGTGATGGTGGTGTGTGTGTGTGTGTGTGTGTGTGTGTGTGTGTGTGTGTGTGTGTGTGTGTGTGTGTGTGTGTGTGTGTGTGTGTGTGTGTGTGTGTGTGTGTGTGTGTGTGTGTGTGTGTGTGTGTGTGTGTGTGTGTGTGTGTGTCGATTAGTGCACTCTCTGACCTCCTCTCTGCGTTCAGATCCACGTCTCTGTATGTACCATCGGATCTGAGCCTGTTGAGATTTGGGGATACACTCGAGGAAGGTGGAGTTGCTCTGCACACCATAAAGGACTCTCTCCTCCACCCGTCCCCCAACAAGACCTGCAGAAAACACGACTGTTATTGATCCAAACTCTTTCCTCTGGTTCTAAAAAAAAAGATGTCTTGCAGGTATCCTCTCGAGACTTGTTAAGTAATTCATTTATCTGTTTCCTGGATGTGTGTTTACAGCTCGCAGAGAGATTTTCTTAATAACACAGATAAAGGTTGCATTTATTAAAAGAACAAAGTCTACGTACTGTCTTTGGTGTCCCAGCACTGGCTGGCTGGGTCTCCATGCTTGATGTCCTGTCTTCTGGCTCGCCTGGAAAACAAACACGCAACGTGTAAATAGATTACAAGAGATTGGAAATACACATTTTGATCAAATGTAAGAGACAGTGCCGACAACCATATTTTCTCACACAAATCATCAATTCAATCATTTTTCAGTTATTTTTCAACTGAGACAGAACCTTAAAAAATATAAAACATAAAAATAGAATGGCACTTGGCAAAGAGGATGATTTATTGTGTATAGCTTGGACTGTTCAAACAACACATTGAGAGCTGTTTCTGATTATTTGTTTTACGAACTTCAGTGAAAGTTCACTTGCATTTTACCAGTAGGGAAATCATTTTACTGATCTCAAATTGCTAACAAAAGTTATAAATACTTTTTGTATTCCACCCCCTGTGATTTGGATTTTTCTTATGTGTAATGGGCTTTTCCTTGGCCTATGATACCCATTCCAAATTCATTGAATTGTGGGCCGGTAGTTTATTCAGTGACCCTGCTGACAGATGAACAAAAAAACAGAGCCAGAAACATAACCTTGGTGTAGGTGGATTGGAGAAAATAAGTAAATAAAAAAAACACCTCTTACACATCTCTAAATGAATGAACATGTGAAGAAGTTGCCTGAATATTGCCTTTAGCAAAGGTTTTTTTCAGAACCACTTTACATGTGATTTAGGGTGATTACTGTTAACCTTCAGTGTCTCCAGTTAACACCTGTAAAACCTTAGGCAAATACACCACAACTTCTGAAGACATTCTGTCTACTCCAGAGTTATTTATTCCCTACAAAAATGACATTCAAACAATGTTTCTTTGGCCTCTGGCTCACTTCCGCTCCTTCAGTTTGTATTGATTTTACCTCCTCCACCTTCTGTCAGTCCACTGTGATGGGACATCTGTAGCCTACACTCACTGACACTGTGGAGATCATCTTTCAAATAGCACTGGAAACCAAACGCAGGAACTCCACTTTTCCACAAACCATAACAGCATCCCCACTGGCCAATAATATGGCATTGTGACCTCTAACTGTAGGGTATATATTCTGTAGAGCAAGCACACAAACAAAAACACATGCAGTAAAACACCCATATGTGCTTTTTCACCCAAGAAGTGAACTGTAGAGGTATGGAATGACAGTAGCATTAATCAGTTGAGGAACAGCATCTAAAACCAATGCCTCAAATGGACTAATAACCTTTGGAATGGAAAAATGCTGAATATGTGACAAGAGCCAAAATAGAAAACATATTTAGCAAGAACTATGAACTTTGCCTGACAGTCCAAGAATAAACACACACACAGGCACACACACACATCATGGATAAGTAGGGCAACAAAGGGTCAGTTTAAAGCAGATTTGGATATGTGACAGACCTTGATATAAAATGTGTTTTTTTATAAACACAGCGTTACCTCTCTTTGTTTATATGGTGAGTGATGTAAAGCAGAATACACCTAACAAACGATGTACAGTGGGTGCATTGGGTTCATAACCTAGAACATTTGAGCACAAGTTACCATGGCCTGTCATTATTTTTGACAAAGTTCACGAGTCAACAACAGGCACACCATTGTTGTTCCTGTCCTGAGTGTGCAAAGAGTAACAGATTTTTAATTCCTATATGTTTACTGTGAATACTGTATCCATCTACTGGTTCTTAACAAAAAAAAGAATTATAAAGATACATTTTCATGTTGGTTAATGCTGTACGATTGTGAATTTTCAAGACTGTATCTTACCTCTTGGATGCATGGACGTATTGAGAGCATGTGTTTCCGTCCCAGGCGCAGTAGGGGTCTCGAGCCAGGCAGCACTCAGCACAGGCTTGGCCATACAGGTGACATCTACTGAGTGAGACCTGGGCTAGCCCTTCACTTGAACCCACATAGAGCTGTTGCTATAATGAAACACACACCACACTTTGCTTTAGGGAAGGTACAAGTTCAAATGAATTATTTAGAAAGGAAATTCATTTGGTTAGATATTGCAAAACATGCAGAAAATTATGACCGTTTTTTTTTTCCAGTACACATTCATCACAGGTTTTTCTTCTCATGTATATTTAGCTAAAATTCTTAACAACAAAAATTCAAGGATGTTCTTACAAATGTCAGTGAGGACCTGCTCTGACTCGCCTTAAGTTATGGAGATTTCTAGGCTGAACTTCCAAACAACATTTTGAAAACACCAGCGAGCATGCACTTACAGACACACACACAGGGTGAACACTGCTGGAGATTTATGGAAGCAATGATTGGAGTTGAAGTGTCTACTGACACCCCTGACCCTAAGATAATGAGGCAAGGGGGGAGAGAGAGCTATACAAAAATGGCTAAAGAGAGAGGGTGAAATTGAATAGTTTATGAATTGGGGAAAAAACAGATTTTTTTCATGCCACATCAGACCTATACACACAACTTGAAAATAGTAAAATGATGCCGAGAATGATGCCGAACCTGTTTGGAAGACATCTCCATACTGAGGATGGGAGTGGGAACCTGCAAAAAGTAAAACAAATAAACGTCACCAGCTTTATCACCTCAATATTTACACACTGTGGGAGTACTTTGCGTAACAGATGAGTTTGTGGATAAATAGCTCAGAAAAATCCATCTGTGGTGCACAGTTTCTAGCTGTGCATGATTAATGTTTCACTATCCCATGGAGGAAAGCTAGAGGACAGTTGGCATCGTTTATCAAAGACTTGAAGTGAATGAAAATCTGTGTATCTGTTTCTGTATTTGTGTGTGTGCACAAACCTGGAAAACTTGGAGTTCTTCGAGCACCACTTCCTCTGTTGACCAATTCTCCTGAGTGATGCTCACCACTTTCAGGATTGAGCCGGCATCTACGACAGAGAGTGAGACGGGAAGCAAAAGGGGTGATTGAGATGAATCAAGCAAACCACACAAAATCAATGTTCCATTCAAATGTGAATTACTTGAACCAGCCAGGTATGAATATTGTATTTGTATCAATAAAACAAGCACTTTTGGTCCTTAGAGATACTCTTCTTACTCTTGTTCTCTAAGGGACTGACACAATTTCCACATTCCTCGGACGTTATTTTGAGAAATGCTTTGTTAAAAATGTACCATAGTAAGAATACTGCAACCTTAAGTTCATAAATCTTTCTAACAACTAGACCATAATCGCATCAGGAAAAAAGTGTCAATGGCTGATGACAATTTATGGTGATTTATTGCCCTCTGTTGGTCAAAAATAGAACTCCAAGTGAAGACTGAGAGGAGAGGTGGGTTTCTCACCTGTTCCCAGAAACATGACCTCATATTGTCCATCCTCTGCCAAAACTCTGTCCACCACGATCTGAGTCAGGGTGTAGTCCACTCGGACGCGTGTGAACACGGGTCGGCCAGTCAGAGGAGTCACAGAGTGATGCATGAGAGGGTGGAATCGAATAAAACTGACCACCTCATCTGGGAAGTCTTTGGTGGTCTTGATCCTTGGGTCATATGTCTTGCTGGGACACTGAAGGACAAACAAAATGTTGATCTTATTCAAAATGTTCAAAATGACATGATGATTTAAAGCACTGAGTGTCTCTTGTGTATGTTTCCCATATTTCCTTCACCTAGTGGTTTGTGTATAAAAATGTAATGGTGCATGCCTCCCTCTGGTGGTCAAATGCAGAACAGCAGTAGCAGGGTATACTGTATGCAGGAATCCTGAAGTCAAATTTAATACCTTTTAAGACCTTTTTTAAGACCCTTTCCATACATTTTAAGACCTCATCGCCACTTGGAGTTTTAACCGGTTACATTGGCGACACACTTTACCTCACATTTACTATATACAGTATTGATTGTCCTTCCTCCTTATCTTCCAACCATTTGGACGCAAAATTGCATTTCCCCATAACGATGTTGTTTAACAACCGGCGTAAACGGACCTTCGCGCGCTATCAAGCAGTGAGCGTGCAATGTCCTGTTCAGATGACGTCAAATCCAACGGGATGCCATAAATAAACTACACAGAATCACACTACACACCTACGCAATGATTACATTCAGGCACACTGTAGAATACAACCTCTTTGGACCATTTATATACTTATTGAAAACAAGCTACAAAATGTAATACCTTGGAAAATGCCGTTTAATACTTTTTAATAGCATTCATTTTCGCTAAATTGATTTATCAACTTTTAATACTTTTTAAGACCCCGCGGACACCCTGCGTAGGCAAAGCACATCTGGAACATCTGTGTCACCCAAGGTCCCCCATGCTGTATATATTAAAGCTTTAACAGCTGCACACCTGAAGCATACACTGAATTCCCCATACATCCCTTTCCCTTCCTTGATTACATTTTGTAAACAAAATAAAACAAGAGTCTGATTAATATGTTGAGCAACCTCTTCAAAGCCAAGGTTATGTCATACATCATGCGCAGATGTGAGCATGCATAACCTACAGCATCATGAACATGTCACTCTTTGAATCCAGTACTTTTAAATTAGGCCATGTTTATTATTCTGTAATTAGCAAAAACATAGAGGATTATATTCCAACTTGTGAATAGAAAATCATTTTTAATGTCGTTCCCTTTAGTGGGTAACCTACCGTTCCAGGACGGGGATAGGGTATCCTTCCCTCGTATTCTACCCATCGGTGGTCGGGCCCCTCCTTGTGGGCGTAGGGTCCATTAAACACAGCTCTTATGTCCGCCATGCTGTACACACACACTGCTGAGCCACGGAAAATTGAGCTGAGAGAAGAGGGAACGGGTTCAAGAGAAAGTGCCTTTGATGTTGATGATAGTATGATTAATACTTAACTTACCTGGAGGTGGTGAACACTGCATACACTTTGGGGTTTTTCTCATCTCTGGTAGGAAGCATAAATATGTCCTCTATTGGAAAAAGGGGGAACAAAATAAAGGATATTTGTTTGTTTACCTTTATCTGCACTCAAAAAAAATGTCTACCACTTTCCTACTGCCGAGTTGGAAATGCTGTCCCTTTCTTAACTGCTCTCAGAAGGCCAATTTGAAAGATAAAATGTATTATAGTGGCCTAGATTTTCACATTTAATCCTACAATCACTTACGAAGTTCATCGAAGTGTGTGTCCACTCCGTCCGGTCCAGGGATGGAACATATAAGTCTGGCTTTGAGGAAGGTGGTCCATTTATTGGTCAGACTCCTCAGCCCACCCACATCATTCTGAAACACAACCACAGTCACTCTAAGAAAACTATAGTCAGCACATTGCAGCTGTCTCAAATAACCAGACGGACAACCACAAATAATAAATATACAATTTGTACTTTACCACAAACCAACTGTAATCAATCTATTGGTTTTGCAAACAGGCACGCAGCATCGCAGCCTGACTGATTTCCTGCGCTAATAAGGAAAATAAACAGGTAAACCGCATGCCGCTGGTTTGAATCTGTTTATTTAACAAGCACAAAGGAGACCTACTTGTTAGTATAAAGACAGTCGGGGGTAATTGAAAAGGGAAAGGAAGAGAAAGAAAGGAAAACAGAGAGCCGACAATAAAACATGAAGCGAGATAGGAACAAACAAAAGTGCAGCATGTTGGAAAAGTATTGAAATGAAGCGAGGCTGCAGACTGATAATGCAGGTTTTATCTTAGCATATGAATTGCTGTTTAAGTAGAGACCTTTAATGAGCTAATGTAAGAGCATTCAAGTGCACCTCTTTGTAAGGAGTAGAACACTTGAGAGATCCTGCCCATTAAATGTGGATTCACCAACTTAAGGTCCTTACACACCGAGCCGATTTTCGGCGTCGATAGATGTCGATAGATGTCGGGCCGTCGATGAGCGTTGTGTCGCCCTACTCAGATTGGTGTGTACTGCACCGTCGTGTCTTTTCGGCCGTGCCGATACCTTCCGCCGCCTATTCGACTTGTTGAATCGGGAGGCCGTCGGCCAAAGAAATCACTCTGATTGGCTGTTCAGCTTAGCGAATTAGTGCATGAGAAGCGAAACGGAAGTGAGGGACCCAAACAAACTATTAAGAAGGCAAATCTGAGATTTCATTTAACTCCAGCTCTCGACACAGGTTCGGGAAAGCCCCATGAGCTTCTCGTTGTAGAGTGAAAATGGAACACACACACTATTTGTTGTTTGTTTATATCACGCAGTCTGTTCTTCTTCTCTCGGTTATCACGCAGTCTGTCTTCCGGTTGTTGCCTCTTTTGAATGACGAATACACACTACCGCCGCCTGCTGGTAAGGAGAGTTATTGCCACTCACGCATGCGCAGTTCGTACGTGCAACTTGGCCGTCGGCTGAAGTCTTTGCGGTGTGTTCCAGTGCGACACATAGCCAAGACACAGGAGACGTGAGGCGAGGCGACATGAGGTGAGGCGACGTGAGGACGTGAGGTGAGGCGACGTTCCGTCGGGACGTATTCTTTGGTGTTCTTTGGTGTCAGTTTGGTGTGTAAGGACCTTTTTCACTCTACAGCGAGAAGCTCATGGGGCTTTCCCGAACCTGTGTAGAGAGCTGGAGTTAAATGAAATCTCAGATTTGCCTTCTTAATAGTTTGTTTGGGTCCCTCATTTCCGTTGCGCTTCTCATGTACTGATTCGCTAAGCTGAACAGCCAATCAGAGTGATTTCTTTGGCCGACAGCCTTTGGCCGACAGCCTCCCGATTCAACATGTCGAATCGGCGGCGGAAGTTGTCGGCACGGCCGAAAAGACACGACGGTGCAGTACACACCAAGACACACCAATCTGAGTAGGGCGACACGACGCTCATCGACGGCCCGACATCTATCGACGCCGAAAATCGGCATGGTGTGTAAGGACCTTAATAAGCTTTAGTTGTACAGGAAAGGCTGTTATGGTTCGACACACAAAAACACACTCCAAAAAAATGGAAGCCCTTAATGAGGATGTTTTACAATGGTGATAATCTTCAAAGCGCTTGAAGTGAAGTGCCCTTACTTCTTTGATTATTGAAAATAAAGGAAAAAAACAACATAGAGAGAGCGAGAGCGAGAGAGAGAAAGAGAAAGAGAGAGAGAGAGATAGCTGAAAGAGAAGGAAAAAGACTGTAATCCAGAGGAATGTCCTTCCAGTCTGCCTTACAGCTTACTCCCAAGTCATAAACACGATGAAAGCTTTTTTCTAAGAATGTAGCAATAGGCCTCCGAATGCTAATAGGAAATTGCTGTGTGGGCTAGTCCCTTTTGGAATGACTAATGCTACACTGTACGGTATACAAAAGGTCCCCAATTATGAATCTGTTCTGTCCTCAGTTAGCTGTGCAGTGCCATCCGAGCTAACAGTTGTTTTGTCCTGCTGACAAATATAACTTAATGGGCAGTGAAACATGATACGCCTCTCAGATGTCTTGCAGCATCTAACAACTGAACAGAATTTTTGATTAAAAAAATGGTTCTGTTTGACTTTGTAGTTTTGCATGCATTGCATTTCTAGCCATTTGTAAATGATGACATGTAGCTCTTGTTCCAGTAGAGGCTGAATGCTCTGACTGTAAGTTGCATTGGACAAAAAACATCTGCCATATGAACATAGTCTCATGTAATGTAATGGAACCACACAAAATAGCCTTTCTTTATTACCCTTTGAATGGATAAGGCAAGCAAATCCTTTTGGTTATAGAAATATGACAATGAGATGGTGCAAATAATCGATCTCAGTGACAATGTAAGCAGCAGAACTGAGAATGCCCCGTCAGCAGGGTACAAAGAGGCTAAAACATGATTTACTCCCTGACAGACTCTTTTGAATGACTACAAAAGGAGAATGTATCAGGAAGGCCTCCTCCAGAAAACACTTCTGTAGTGGCTGCCACAAAGACCCTAAGACCATCAGATCACTATAGGAGTCATGACTCCCTCCTGCTATTTTCCTCTATAGTCCTACCTACTTTATCTTACATGCACCATTTCACTCATTCATATTACCAAATGGTTCCCATAGTCTGTGTAATGTAGAAGTATGCTTGTTTGGGCTTTAACCCTCCCCTTTCCCCACAACCTGTCCCCCCATATGTCATATCCTCACCACCATGCCTCTGTATACCTATGCACTGTCCTCCTCCCTCTTGTGTAATATCTCACCTTGCACACACGAGCCACTCGAGACAGGATGCTCTTGTCATTGCCTTCCCACGAAACCTCGCGGAAGAAGAAGTATATTTTATCATCATCTGGATTGTAGGTGTCTGCAATGGGATGAGCCGATATAAACCTGGCCTCTGAAGCAGGGAGAAAAGAAAAGAGAGGGGGGATTGTTAAAATAAGTCAGGTAATGGATTTGCCATGAGCTGCAGCCTTGAGGTGGGATTAACACTACACCTAGCACTTGTTTATTTACAAACGTTCACTATTCCTACAGAAAGCTGGGTTTATGATGTAATGATGTGAAGTAAGCTTATGCATAGGCTGCATGTACATTCAATTTGACATACAGTTTGATACATGGGCTAATGCAGTGATATGCCAGGCTATTTAGGTAAGAGCAGTAAGTAAAAGCAAACTGAAAACAAATAAAGAACATCAAAAAACATTTAAAAAGTTGAACATGTTGGCAAACAGTTTTGTCCCATTTACATCAAATAGACACAGAACAACATTAGCATTATTTTTCTATTTGTGTTTCTGGGCACCCAATGGATAGACCAACATAAACTGTCCTTCTTGCTCTGCTTTTCTGTGAAAGATCGCGAGGGACACTGCAAAGTTGGTTACCATGAGAGATGGTCATTTGAAAATACTGATTACTGCAGCTTTAAAGATCAAAAAAGAAAGAGCATCGAAGTGTTTTTCAAACAAATATATAATATTTTATAAATGATCCTAAACATTTGTGTTTCAAATCTTAATCTGTTAATTATTAGTAGCTATAGCTGTTAGATGTATTATAAATAAATGTGCTACAGTAAATATTACAAGTTAACACATTAGAAAACAAACATGCTTAGATTAATCAGTGATAACCATGTTAAGCTGTTGCACAGTGTGACAGGATAAACAATGCATACTAGATATGATGTTGAAAGCAGCAGTGATGAAAGGAGACAATCAACAGCATGTTGTCATGACTCAGGCGGGAACAAGTCCAAAGACTTAAGTATTGCAGAGAAATGACTTCACTTTAGCTCCACCCCTAGAATCAGAGCCAAACCCCAGAGGGTGATTCTCCGACAGGAACTGCTTAATGTATGCTGCTAACACACGCGACAGAAGGTCAGTGTTAGTGCTGCAGCATTGGAAAGAAGTAACAAAGGCAGAAACACTGCAAGAGGTGACGTGTTCCCTCTCTCTCTCTCTGCCTGCCCTGCGCCAACACAAGCAGTCCTCAAACACCTATAGAGAGACGGTGACGTAATTACTCCAAATATCTCTGAATGCCTGGTTGTGAAATGTGGAGACCATGTGTAAGGATTTAGATCCCGGTGACAACTGTTGATACACGACGACCCATCAGTGGCTGTAAAACACTTGAGACTGGAGACTGTAAACACAGAGAGAAGTTTCCTTCATCAGTGATGACTGGGCATGCCCGTGTGTGTGTGTAAATGTGTGTGTGGCTTTGCGCTTGTGTGACTAAGCTTGTGAATTTTGTGGCACACTGTAAATTCCCCCCGTAGGTGCGGTCCCTGTTCAGCTATGGCATTCATATAAAAGTTCCAGCTTAATGAATAAGTGGGCTGTTTCCTCCGCATTGGAATGCCAATAACCATCCTGAGGGCACAGAGAGGCTCTTTGTATCAGTGGAGAGGCGAAAAAGCAATAACAAGTTTTGAGTGCACTCAGCGTGCTAATGTGGATATGTGCAAGCATGTGTGTACCATTGATCCAGTATTCTTCAGACATGTCAGTGCGTATGTAGTGCTGGTCAGGTGGAGGGCCGAGGGAGCGTGTGAACGTTGTGTCTTTGCCCAGGAAGTCTGATGATGTGCCGGCATACAGGTACTGATCTGGATTACAAGCAAAGGTCAATCAATCACCACACATATAGAAGATTATTGTACAAGGAAAGTCAAAGAGCAGTAGCCTCTCACAATCTAATTAAACATGTACACCAGAAGAAAATTATTCAAATTTCAGTTTCCATTTCTAGTTCGCTCCTTCCATTTTTCATTGACTTACCTCGGTGAACTCATCTACAAAAACATTTCAAGAAACAAACATGTGAAGGAGAGATAAGGCTCAAAAGCACTTGCTGTTTACAAGTGTCTGCCAAGTGACTGTGTTGCTGCCTGGGAAATGTCTGCTTGCTTTGCTTTCTTGAGCAAAATAATTGACAGAAAAGTGCCAGGAAAACAGACACATGACAAATGCAAATTTACTCAAATAGCTGAGTAGAGACTTAAGGAGAAACATCATTTATTCCTGGTTTAATGGTGCGTGAAGCCAAAGAAATCTGGTGCGGGACAGATAAGGCAAAAAAGGCCTGTCAGAGTGTTCTGTGATGGTACCTGTGAGGACCGAGGTGAATGGCTGCAGGGGATCAAAAGGACACTTCAATCTGCCAGACTCCACTGTACTCGACAGCAGTTGGAACACGCCATCCTAAGAGAAAGTTTCACTAAATTAAATCCTGACCTTGTGTCAAAATGAACTACTCAAAATGTTCTCTCTCTCATGTCTACTTTACCTCTCTGCGGCCAGTGATTTCAATAAAAGCACAGGTGGGGTGGAAGGAGCCTGTCCCACAGCCATAAACATGTGTTCGGTTGTAGTTGTGGAGGACCCTAACAAAGTTAGCACACTCCAACTACGACAAGCAGGGACAGAAAAAAGGGCAAGGATTAGCTATTATAAAATGATGAAGAGATGATATGATTTGAAGTAGTCAAGTGCTCACATTTGCATTTTTTCCTGCCAGTTTGCACATTTCGACTCGGTCCCTCGGAGCAGGCCAGTTAATCTAATGGCAGATAAAAAAAGGAAGAACATTTTCACATCTCAAATGCTAAATACATCCTCACACAGTTATTTTCCAAGTATATGTAACTATAATTTAGGTGTTTAAGCCTTTTTGCACACTGTCATTAACATATTAATTGCATCTGTGCCAGGATGTTGAAATGCAATAACACCTTTTTAAATAATGAAATAACAATAAACAAGTTCAACCTGCTGAAGGTTCAGAAAGCAGCTACAAGACTTCTCATAACATCTAAAAGGGGAGTGCATAATACTCGTGTTTTAGTATCTTTAATCTCTATGCACTTTAGAGTAGAATATAAGATTTCATGGATCGATGTAATGGGCTCTCCTGAGTAAACTCATGACCCCCTCACCTTAAATGAGCCTAAGTGCAACTCACAATCCTCCAGATAGTCCTTTATAGTAGCTCTTAAAGGCTAAACGCAAGAGGAGGCCAGTCCTTTACAGTGAAGGCCTCTCAACTGTGGAACAAAGTACCAGAGAAGTACAGGTACCATAGTTCTTTATTCAATACAAAATCCCCTTCAGAGGCATAATATTATTCTATATTTCTGTTTCCCTCTGAACTTTTGGCGTTTGTATCGGTTGGTCTTCTGTTATTTTTAATTTTGCATTGTACTCCCCCTTGGCCTGCACAATTTCCAGTGTAATATTGAAAGTGCTATATAAATAAAATCAGCGTTGCAAAATGTTCACTCCTCACCTCTCTCTTTGACAATTGAGGATTATTAAAAAGCTGAACTCAGTTGTACAATAATTAACGGCTCCAGGTGCTGGTACGAGAGAGCTATGGACGTATAAAATCAATGTTCCCCATCCTGTTCACACATGTGTTATAACAGGCTTAAGTGCTTAGCGTGTTACCTCCCCTAAATCCTACCAAGGAGAGCTATCGCCAAACATATTCATGGGTCAACATACGCTTGCATAAATATTAAAACATCTTATGATTCCATATCAATGCAATGCCGCAAAGGAATTCATACAGAAAGCCAGTGTTACAACATGATGTGTCGACTGAGTACGGTGTGGAGCCTGTGAAGGTCTTAAACTGGTTTTAAAGTTCAGAAAATGAAGTAATCAGTGGCCCAGTTTAACCATAGCATGTGTGGATTGTTAAAGACTGTAGTAAAAAGTTAACAACATAGCAGCTATCTGCTAAAAATCAAGGTAGAAACACCTGGAAGGTTTGCTCAGAGATTATTTGTTTGTGTTTCAGTACCAGAGGGTCCCTTTCTTCGAGGTATGTCTCTTCATTAACTGATAAACACCAAGATTGCTTTTCTAGATCATATTCACTGTAAAGGGCTGGTCCCAGAGGGCAAAGACAATTAAACGTTCGGTGCATATCTCCCTGGCATCAGTATCAATAACCATCGAGGCAACAAAAAGACAACACTAAGAGTTAAAATAACCAGATACAAATCAAATAAACACACAGTCGTCCCACTTGCGGATCAACCTCAGCTGCATAAACACACACTCACATCTACAAACTTTAACATATGGCATCTGTCCAAATGCATTTGTGTGTTTGTGTAAGTGTGAGTGTGTGTAGTCCTTAAATGTGTTTATACTTGTGCGTGTGTCCTCCAACATGGTGACCCTGACCTCGCCCGACAGACAGTTTCAGACTGTTGGTGACTGAAAGGTGAGCTCTTCTCTAAAACAATACACGTCAGGGTTCAATTCAGCTTTACAACAAATGGGGGAAAGAAAATCACCCCAATTAATGACAAGCTTCATTTAAGGGTCATGGGCTGAAGCATGTGGAGTCTTTATGATCTATATAATACTGAGCTGTTAACAGTAAATGACAGAGGATATTAGGACGTTTGCATGTCTAAGGACTGGGTCATTTTACTCTGTGTGGAGCAGATACTCCATCTCCTATTGAAAGTTCAATATCTTAGACCACTATTTTCTGGTCAGAGGGTGTTGGGGATTCTTAAAACAGCTGTAAACACTTCAGAGTATACCAAAACAACCTGTCATGTATAACAAATGGCCGTGACAGCTACAAACTCACAATCTGCTGTTTATGTATTGCACTAGATTGAATCTTGGCCTTGGAATGTTTAATATTGTTCTATATATAATTTGCATATTCTGTATAATTCCCAACATGGTTTACCTTTCTTGGGGCTCTGGCCAGATTGTCAGGGTCGAGCAGGTAGATGTTATCCCTCGCTCCCAACAGAAGACGACCCTTCTCCTCATCCAGCAGCAGCGAGTGGGAGTGGAGGCCATCGGAGGGGCCCAAAAACACAGATACACTGCCGGCTTGCAGCAGTTCTGGCCCAGAGCAAGTAAAAGAAAGACATTGACACAAACAAAGAGATTAATACATCTCTGCAGTACAATGTGTGCATTGAGCTCACATCTAAAAATGCACCATCTAGCATTGAATTACACTATGTTGGACAAATTATTTGAGCAGGATTAGGCTGTCAAGTTTAACTTATTCTCTTCAGTTCACTCATCCCAAAGACAAGCACTGGGTTTCCTCTTACATAAAAGAAGACAAGTCTTGGCTTGAGCTAAAACATGTCTAATCCTCTGTGGTTTAACACCTTAGCTACACATGCTGATAGAGAAGAGATACAGTAGCAGACTCATTTCACAGCACAGTACTTTGGTGCATGCACTATGATATATCTTCATCAGGGTATTTTCATAAACCATGAATAAATATCATAGTTGAACAGCAGATGTTAAATGTATGTTTGATGTCCAACAACATTCATCTCTCTTTCAGATCTTTCCTGACTAGACCTTATTTTACAAATGACTGAACATCTTCAGAAAACATGAACTTTAGCTGTTCCATAGGCCTGTCATGGGCAATGTGAGATTAGATCATGATAAGATCATGTGGAATACCTGGTGCTCAACCATAGGATGATGATGTAGTTTGCTTTTAACTTCTTTATGATTTATAGTTGTATATTTTAAATAAACTGTACATAAAATGTAAAATATACGGTGCAGTTTCGCTTTGATTCACAGCTTCCATATCTGACTACATTCTCAGCCCAGTATTGTGTCCTTGATCTCCTTGATCTTAGTAAATATATTCTATCACCAGGCTCTTTTCATTTCACCAGTATAGCAACATGCCTTGAATAAACACAGGCTCAGTGTGGGGGAGTCCTTTGGGAGTCACTCTGAAAGGATTGACATTGTGATTACCCTCTTGGTGTGAAGGATTGGAGAGGTTACCAACCTTCAATATTTTAACTTCTACGACCCCTCCACACCACGCAATCTTGCTTTAATACCTCCTCCTTTACACAAGCTAACACACACAGCACTGCCACATGCTCATATCTCACACCCCTGAACATCATGCCCCCAGCAGACTAACCTCACTGTGAGATTAGGCCTGCTAGCCTTTGGCTAACGCTAATCTGCTCTGTAAACACGTAGCACTATGAGCCCATTCAAACAGCCTGTTTAGCTGTTGCCGCTTACTATAGTGGTCCACACCTTCTCTCAGAGAGGAGAGCCCTCATCCCCCTTAACAGCTGTTGATTAGCTCCTCTGCTGGAGCTCTGAGGCACTCTCATCCACACATGTATTTGAGTAAGACATCACCATGTCGGCTTGCTGCCAACAGGTTTAGGTGCTGCTGATTAACTAGATTTAATGTCTGCTATTGTTCAAGAGCAAACTATCTAACAAAGGATGAGTAAGGTAATGCTTAATCATCCGCAAAATTCTGAAGGTTGAATTTTATATAAGAGCATGGAAGTGGAAAAGATGTTAGTTGCTGCAATGATGCAGAATATAAATCTGCCATATGTGCTGGAAGAAGAGTCACGTCATATGTATAAGACTTCCCTACCTCTTAATGTGCTCTGCATTAAGCTAGCTAAGGTTAGGCTGTATTTCTCACATGATCATTGTCTTTGTTCTGCCTTTATTAAAATGTGGTATATGAGGTTATGTCTCTGGATTCAGAAGACACAGAGTAACGTCACAGCCAATAATGTTTATAAGAACGTATAAATAAAGAAACCGTTACTTGTGAACTTTTTGCACAGCCAGATGAATCACTGACATGTGTTATGATGTGTGGTTTTTAAGGAAATTAGTTAGTTAAATACTGCAGCGTTATATTGTGGAACTTTTTACTATGAGGAAAATGTCCTTTAAATTGAGCTTATACTCTACAGTTTGACTTGTAAAATGTAGCTCTGGAGTTATACACACCACAAAACTAATGACAGATTGCAACGACGTAATGAACTAATATTGGTCGCACATGAAGAACAAAGTCATCACAATAATCTGAATGTGCAGCATATTAAAAGTATTTGAACCAGATGACTTTATTTGGAAGAAGGCCTCGATGTATATGATGTGGATCTGAACGAAACTTGAACTTGTGTTTTTGAAGTGGAGAGTTCATAAGTTTGGGGAACAAGGCAGTTGTTTTGGAGGTGTTCATTCAATCAGGGATGATTTTGCTTTGATCGTTTCACCCTCCACTCATTGGAGTTGTGCTTTCACTGGGGGGGGGGGGGGTTATGTGATGGTTGAAGAGTGATCACTGCTGGGTGGTGTTGCTTTTGAAGAGCGTACACTGATGAGACGATGACAAGTTATGTGTGAATGATGTGGGCATTGGGTTGGCGGTGATTTTGCTTTTATTTAGCTTCTTCTTCGATTCGAGAGAGCCAAAAATGGACATTGTTCTACAGTTGTTAATCTGGTGTCTGAAAAGAAAACCATTACTTTCTCAGAAGGCCTCTTGCATGAACAGCAAAGTTTAGTCATAGTCAAAGCTAAGAGACACACCCTGATAGAGTATCAAAAAAGTTTTCTCATATATATGGCCCCATTAAAATGCTATGTGAAATAATAAAGTGCTTTATTTTATTATCTGGTGGGTTAGGAAAAAACATTAAACGAGACAAACTGTAGACTAAATGCTAGAATAACTGCTGAGTAAACACTGTCCACAGCAATCATTACTCCTTCAGCTACTTACATATATTTATGTTGGACACACGGGACATACATGTGTATCTATTTCCAGCCATGGGCTTTGGAAGTCTTTGACCAGAAGAGTGCCTTTGGAGGTTAAAGTCAGAGTGAGTTTACTTTTAGGCAAGTGGGAATTCAATTTTATGGACCAAGACTGAAGTTCATTTGTGTGGTTTCTGGTAGTTGATACAACGCATAAGGGACGGAGACTTTGAAGTAAAGTTTACACGGGAGTTAAGGATGGGTTTTAGGGGGAACCATAATTCAGCTTTTCTCCGGTGGCACAAAACAAACAGTTGACGCAAAACGAAACACATAGACGCAGTGCACATTTGCCGGGACCGGCTAATATACACACAGCGGCTTGAACGAGAGTCTCCAATGGACCGAGAGCATCACCATGAACTGTTATTCTGCATTGGTTGTATTGTACAAGAGTAAGAGTTATAATAATACTGAACAACAGCACATTTCAATAACTGATTGCAATTTTTAGTTATACGGTTATGTCAAGATGGCATGTTTGTCAAAAAGTGACAAGGGAATATTCTCATACCCATCTAACTTTACAAACAGGGGGGATTAAGAGGTGGGCTAATGAATCAGTAAGTGAGTCTTATAGCTCCTACTCGACTTTACAGTGTTGTTTCAAAGACCATTGACTTTAACAGCGCAACTGAGTGTAATATACTCTCTTTTTACTTTTCCTCTTGGCATTGTGCACAAAACCGCAAGAGAATGAGAGACACATAAGGACAGATGTTATAAGGAGAGAGAAAAAGAGCTAAACAATGCCTTTAAAGATGCAAATTGAATGTCTGAAATGCTTATGGTAATTTATCTCTTATATACAATAAGTACAGATAGGTGCAAATGTGCTGATGATAAAAGTTGTAGGCACACAATGAAATATGTAAAATGAAATTACCCGAACGTAATGTTGGTTCAAACTGTAATCAAATGTACTAAAGTAAATGTCAATTATGGAACAACATTTAAAAAAAATCTCAGACAAATCAAAACTTTTTCTTACCTTTGTAGTTGAGTTTGACCCTTGGGACAGTTTGTTTGATGCTTGCTCCAAAAGGCAGGGTGGCCAACAACATCAATCCCACTAATGTGAACCCTGGATGGGATAGTACCTTAATCCTCTTCATTTTGCTGCCATAATTACTGCCAGACATGCAGTGTAGAGCCCCAACTTCATTCCGACTCTGATTAACAAAGTCCCCTTTCTTCATGGTGTTTGGAGTGGTCTTGTTCCGTTTTCACTCTATCCTTTTCTGCAACCCTGGAGGTAGACCGGAGTAGTCAAGAGTCAAGCAAGGGAGGAGCAATCATACATGTGTGTGTGCATGAGTGTGTGTGCAGTCTCATCTAACTTTGCGCAGGATATGCACACGGGTTTCTGTTGTGACTATTCAGTCGTTTCACCATGGAGCCCTGCAGGCATGTCCCCTCTCTTTACCCGTCCTACATCAGCTGCTGCCTGTCACTGGCTTCCCTTTTGTGTCGCCCTTAAATCTGTTTGCCCAAAACAAAGGTCACTCTAACAAAACAGTGACATTCTACAATCTTTCACTCGGCTATGCCTCTTTCACGTCCTCCCTATCTCCTCTATCTTCTTTTGACTTGGATAACTCATTTAATTCTTAAGCTAAATGATACTGCTTTATAGTTTCAGCATTGGTTGATGACCCTGTCATCTCCTGCTTTATGTCCTGTGAAAAAAATGGGCCATGTAATGTCTGGGACTTCACAGTGCATTAAAGAGGCCTGTAGCACAGACATTAGTTCACACTCAATGCAAAGTGAGACATATGAGTGAACAGTCATGGGAACACTTTCTGCCTTTTCTAGCACTAATAAGCAAGAAGGACGTGAGCGACGTGTACAAATTGAACATGGACAAAGTGAAATCTTTGAGGATGAAACTTGAAATCCGCCATATGGCAATGTTTTCCTTTTGAACTAGCAAAGATGGTAAGATTAAAAGTTGTCCATTTTTCAGTGGGTTTGTTTGGTTACTCTTTTCTATGTGCTGATTTCCAATAGCCTTGTCCAACCTGTTCTGTGAATAAAACTATGCTTTTTCAAGCATGCAAATAGAATCATCCCACAAAACAAAGGACATGCAACTGACAATAGAGAGGATGTTGTTTTCTCTGCTAACATTATAAATAAGAGATTATTAGAAATAAATCAGAAACTAAGAGCTCATTTACAAGCAACTAACAACTTCTGCATGAATTTAGAAACCACTCTCTGGTTATTCATAGGTATCTGAATTGAAATGTATTTCTTAGTTTATTGTTGCTGATTTACTCTAATCAACACAATTACACAAGTTTCTTTCTTTGTGCCAACTCAAGCAAAGGGGTGCATCCTTAACTCAACCTTCCACTGAATTCTGTATGCCAGTTCTGTATGTACAGTAGTGCATCACCCTGCCGAAGAACAGTGTTTTTAAACCTGCATTCCTGCACATTCCACAGCCACCTAGCTACTAATTAACCAAACAATCGATGAAGAAATTAATGAATGCATCAAAAGAATGCCTCCCCCAAAGACCTTACTGCTAAATTGCCCTCATTACTTTCTTTCCACCCCCATGTCCGATAACACAAATCAACCTGTCTTGTGACAACATAAACAATGTCAACCTAAATGAATAGATCGGATGTTTCAAACACTCACACAGCTCAAGTACTGAAACCAAGCATGGTGACTCTGATGAAGACGCATTTGGCATCACAGGTGCTCTGTAAATTAAGAATGAAGTCTTTCTCTTTGCACTGAAACAAAGCATGTTGAAGAATTGGACGTACAGTATAGGGAATAAATAGGGCCAAATATTGTAATGTAATTAGAGAAATTGACATTCAATGAACATACGTTAATTCAAGCTTACACACACAGATTTGCATGGCATGTTGGCAGACAAATTCAAGCTGTAAAAGTACAACATCATTCCACCTCATTTCTTTTCCCTCTCCAGTTTTGGCATCTGGTGTTTGAAACTTGAGCTCATTACGGAGAATCAGGGCAGAGTGGCAAACATCCAAAACCCCGTAGCTCCAAACTGGAGAGGATTAGACCCTGATAAACAGACTGCGGTTTACTTAAGATGACAAATTGAGGCACCTTCACACCTTCAGGGTTAGAAATACAGATATAGAGCTGTGTGTGATGGATGGGCAATCGGCAAAGAGAGTGAGAAACGGAGCCGGTTTAAAGCTGTGCGGTCGTTGCACACTTTGTGAGCGACAGTGATAGTGCTGCTGGTGGGGCTCATCCTTCCTACAGTATCTTCAGGGGCGCAGTGACACGATTTCACCCATGTGAGTAGCGTTCGAGTAATGTATCTCTCTTTACCGCTTGAGTGCCACCATCTATCAGCAGTACAGGCCTGTGCAGCACCCCTCTGGAAGAATACACCCCAAACTAAGGAGGAAGCTCAAGTGTTAGAAGAGCAGGATTTGTTGAGAAATAAGTGGCAACAGGAGATCGTCACACGATATAGCAAGGGTGGACACAATATGCGTTGCCAGTCAGTCGATACTTCGGAAATGGTGGATAATGGAGATGAAAAGAGAGATAGAGAGAAAGAGTGTGAGAGATAGAGGTGCAAAAGAGAAGAATCAGACAGCTTGTGCCATGTGAGTTAAGCTAACACCCCTGTTTCCTGGCGGCTACAGCCCCTGTTGTCTTTGGCAGCATGGCCGGCACACGGTGCAGGGGGTGATGGGAAACAATCCTGATGGCGATGGTGACAGATTTAAAGCTAGCAGCAAATATGGTGCTGCTTGCTTCAGATCTCGGCCCAACATATAGCCTTTTATAGATGTCACCACCTCAAATAAACCGGACTTTCCAGTGGTGGGCTCAACATCAAACCAATATGGTGTGCGAAGTCAACGACCACTCACCAACAGCCATTAATTACCGATATAATCTATTTTTACTAGGGTGATATGTTAGACATGTAGAGTAGCCGGACTTTTAAAAGAAACAATATTCACAGAAGTTGTCAGCAGACATAAGGAAGGAGCAGATGGTGAAGAAGCACTCTGGCCATGGGCATTTTCACACAGAGACCACCCCTAATGAGGCATTTAGCAACACCCAGGTGCCCTGTAGCGTACATTATTATCAAACCCCTCCATCTCCACAGGACAGAGTGCATTAGCAAGGCTATTTGTCTTTATTCCCCGACCACAGGCACTGACCTGGCAGAACAACATAGGTAATTGTTTCTAGCTCTCAAGACATTCGTTGTTTTTCTTGGCAACAGTCAATCATCTTTTTTTTACCTTGTATTTAAGCAAGCATGCAACTCCCCAGTGAGTCTGTGTGAGTTCATGTCTCAAAGGGAACATGCAGGACAGCCACCAGGCCACACTGTTGGTGTGTTCACTTAACACAAACGATAAAGCATATAGAAAAAGCATTAAAGTTGTTCTGCTGGCTATAACATATAGTTCGGATGGCAGTAAAAAGGAACACTAAACATTGTTCAAATACAGACGCAGAATGTTAGCTTTATGTCTTGGCACTGTATATATTGTGTTTTTTATTTCAATAACAAACTAAAATACTTTTGAAAATAGCACTGTCAGCTCTGTCTCCTAAGGCTACCAATACAAAATATGAATGTTCATCTATAGGGTCCAACAGTTTGTAATCTAAACTATTTTGCCTTAATAATGTTAACACATCAAACACTAGGTACAGCTTAATGGTATTTAACCGTATGCTGAGAATTAACTGTTGCCACAGAACAAGTAAATATGAAACATGTGATCCTCGTGGCTATGTAATATTTTTCTGGACTCAGATCAAAAACCTCAACGTAAATACTACACTAAAGCTTTTCAGCGGCTTTTGTTGTATAGCTCCTTTTTTTCAGTACTTTGTTTAGTCAAGTCATAAAGTAAACATCAAGGCAGCAAGCTGTAATTCATTATAGATTCCAACAACAAACATTACCCCACATTATCTGAGTGAAACACCGTATCAATCCGCACAGAATGTGTATCTCTTGGGAAATTACATATCACTCCGAAACAATGAATGCAAAAATAAATTGCCAAAATATCCCCTTGCGCGCAAAACCTAATCATCCAAACCGAGTGATCAAGACATAGATGGGCTTTGAAGTTAAAAATGCAGCCATTAATTAGCCCTAAAACATGAATAGATGCTTAGTAGAAAAACATGTGAGGTAGGGATATCTAATACCTCTCCTTGGACTAGAACAGGGATAATTTGATCCCTTGACATTAGGAAAGTCTGTATTTCCTGCAGCCATTTACCTGCAAATAAATCCTATAAATCAGAAAACCACGGCTGTCTGACTTCAGGAGGCCCCTCTCACACAACTAAACAACTCTGACAGTTAACTCAACTGCTAGTAAAGAAGAGTATGAGAAGATTTCTCAGAGTGAATCATTCCGGCCCTGTTCTGCATCACATAAACACATTACAACCACATTAAAAATAACAGACATCTCATGACAATCACGCTTGGGAAACCTCTACGCATGAAATCGGTGGACGGTAATGCCCAGACCGGACTACATTCCAGTGGAAGTCCTTGCTATTTGGAGGTGAAGAGTATGTCTGTGGCGAAAATCCTAAGGATAGGGATAAAAATACCAGCCCTGAGTTCCTGTCTGTCCACATTTTGTCCCTTCCTTAGTTGTTATCTGAAAACACTGGTAAGAAATACTCTACGAAACTGCTGGTATGGTAACCAAATACACCAAAGACACATAATATTACTTGTGTTGCCTTTGTTTAAGTCTCGCTTTATGTTTAATGTTGCTGTTTAATCCTCCGATCTTTGTCAGACAGTGCCAGCTCGGGTCTGCTGTCACACTAAGATTGAATGGAGAGGTGGGAGAGCGGGGGCGGGAAGAGACACTGGATCTGGGGTTTAACTCCTTTCAGTAGAGAGGATGGCTACGGAAAAACAAAGTGGAAACAAAGTTGAGAGGCTATTTAGAACAGAGAGAAACAACCGTGTAACTGAGACAACGGAGTATGGATATACATGCCGATTAATATGGGACAACAACACAAGTAACTCTACACATGATGAACGGGCCATGACCCAAGCCTGCATCTCTGAATGTGTATGAGAGTCTGCATGTATGAACATATGTGCGTGTGTAAGCTAATACCATCCTGAGGTAGGCAGATGGGAGTAATAGGGCATGAAAACACTAAACAGAGACTG